ATAGGGATCTAGTATGCGGTATTATGGTTGGATATAATAATAAGAAACTTGCTGTAATGTTTGTGATGCTGCCCCCAACAAGCGCCGAGGTTACTTTGTGACCTTAAAACAGAAGCGTACAAGGATTTTCTGGACAACGACATGCGGGATACGATTTATCATGATGATGTAAGGCCCTCATCACGTCTCGAGAAAGTAAATACTCTAGTAAAGCTCTTGCCGAATGGAGATTTGCCTAAATAACTGCGGTCACAGATATAAAGACAGAAGTTAGTTACATTTGATATGAAAATAAAGTCAATATTAACATTATCCATTATCTTGCACTAGTAGCTCGAACTTGACAACTTTCCAATTAAATTGCAACATGGTTTGCAATTAAACGTGTCGAGCAATTTTGATAGGGTGTTACAATATTAACATGACTTAATATTAAGCTTTTCATATATCATGTTAAAATGCAATATTTTCTGTCATATACTGTACGAAAGGTACAGCTGAATTGCAGGAGAATGACATGCGCGTTGACTTGTTATGTATCATCCCATTCACCAGCAGCGTAGATTACGTATAAATTCAGTATAAACTTGCATTATTCAATCGTTATTAACAATGGAATCTTTTTTGGGAAGAAATTAAAGTGGTTTAAAGCAAATAACATTACCAATATACACATTTTATATGCAATCGTGTTCCTAATAGTCTGTAGCTAAAAAATTTTTAATTTCCATGTTCTCTCATCAGTTTTTGATTTATCAGATTCAAACACGTATTGTGGGCCACAAACATGTTAATGTTAAATCTACGAATTGTGTTAATTTAAATCTTACAATTTATCTAAGTTGTATGCTAGTTGTTTTTTTTTTGTCTCAAAAAATTGAACTCTTTGCCCGTTAATTTTCATAGAAAAAGCCTACATGACATGATTGTATGCGAAAACTGTTCAAAGCCCATAGAAGTAGTATATATCAAGTTAAATGTACTTTTTTTCGAGAACGGTCCAATGGCTGCGTGTGAGGAAAAGGACAAACCATGGAATTGATAAATTTGGCACTGTAGTGAGTGCGATGGACAAGACATACCAGTATCGTTGGAAGACTGTCGGGTTATCAACGTTACTATTTCTTGATGAGTCAAGGCTTATTATCAGCAACTATTATTAGACATGCACTGGTGACACGTTTAACCAGATCGCAACGTGTTATAAAGTATGTGCTCGATACGCATAATTAAGAACATAACTGGTATACTAAGTGTCAATGACAATATTAGTTGCTTTGACGTAAATAGAATACATATCGTCCGCCTTGTCGGGTGAAGCTATTGTGGACAAAAGATTTGCACATCCAAACAAATATGGTAATGGGAATGAGATCAGAATAATGACGAATGGAGTAATTAAGGGAAAGGGGATGTAAAAGAACAAGTTTCCTAATAGAAGATTCTCATTTCAGATTTATCGCAGTTTAGTATTTCGTAATTTCCCCTGCGATAATAAAATCCAGTAGTCAGGATACTGTTGTTCCATACCACATCGCAATATTATCACTTGGTCAAACTTTCTCTTACGCTTATCTATATAGCATGCTATTCTGAAAGTTGCAAATCTAGCTGTAACACGTTTGATGCCATAAAAACATTTGTATAGACTTGGATAACGTGACTGTCGGATTGTGAGTGATGGGCGATGGAGATTCTCTTTCTGATATACACCCTTGATCAATTAGGAATGTAAAACCCTGGACCACATATCGTAAATCCCATGTGACGAAACGCATGCCATGAAAGAGGGCGTGCGCAGATTGGCATCCATGTGGCTTTAATTCCATATGTGCATTGGGAATTGATCTATTGTCTCCGACGTTGTCGTAACGGGGAATCATACTAGCGACGATTTATTATTATGGAAATTCACGTCAGATAAGCTGTAGTTTTGATAATTTGGAAGATTATGTAGTAGGGAACAATATTCAAAAAAGTATTTTCCGAGATGTTTGTTCTGTTGATCGGTCAAAGAAGACTATTCAACATTAGAAACGGATAGGCGAGAAATAATTTTAAATATTGTTATGGCAAATTACGTTAACATCAATGATGCCATTATGATACCATGAGGGTAGATTATCATATCGCACGTATAGGGGAAATGGTTATGCTGTATGTAGCTAAGTGTGCCTAATTGAGATTAGATAGGACACGCTTATTGTGACGGAAAGCAAATATGTCTAGCATCTTTTTCTCTCGCACAAGTGCCGAATGGACAGTACGCAGGCTTTACTAACGTTGATACAATCTTTATTGGCATTCTTTAACTATTAAAGATGTTTATCAACGCTTATCTATGCTTTGGCGTTATTATGTTAGCTGCAAAAAAAAAAAAAAATTGCTCGCGGGAATTCCGGAAAATAAATTAATAATTGATAAACGATAAACAGCAAGTTGTTATGCCGCTTGACAGATTATCTGATTGGTTCAGTTTTATCCTATACTGGATCCCTTTGTCAGTTATTCTCATCTGATCATCTATCTATCAGAACGGTTTTCGGTAATTCGATTGGATAAACATCCGCAATTTTGGAATTAACTTTATTTCCTCATCGATGATGACATGTTGCAATGTTTGTTGTTGCCTGTGTGTGAAGCTAACGAATGACCTGCTCTGGTTTTTTTAAACTTTCCTTCTCCTCGACTTGATTGGTTCCGCATCTGCTACACGATAGCACTTTGGTGATTGCAGTCTTATCCGTACGCTATCAGTTGTTTGTTTATACTGGCAACAGACTACGAAAAACATAGTGATTCCGATCGTCCCCACTAATGATACTACTAGGTGCAACTAAATAAGGAACGCAAAACTCCACTGATAATACTAACCGACCAATATGTCTCCTATATATAGTAGTCCCGGTTTTTTCCTCATGTCGAAAGTTACAATTCTTATTCTTTTTCCTTGCCGCTAACAAGTTTTGTTTTCCAAACCACGGCATGGTTATAAGTTGTTCCTTGTTAGCATTGCACGTTTTTCAATTTTCCCGATGACTTGACAGAATAAAGGGTATTCCGCAACAATGGCAGTTGACATTTTTACCACAATGAATGTAAACAAGGTTGGGCCGTTTACTATTACAAGAAGTGATATTCATTCAGAGTGGTACTGCTAATATTCTTGTATCATTTCGATATCAGGGATTTGCTATCTATACCGAGCAGTCAATGACGCATGGCAGTGATTTCAGTCTGAGACCAGAAATGCCGAAGGCAACGTGCGAAAGAGAAAAAGGTTGATAATGGCAAAAAAAAAAAGAAAAAAAAGAAAAAAAAAAGGTACATTATTTTTTCCCCCTAAAAATATTCGATTGAAACATGTTTCAATTCCCCTTTTTCCAAATTGTCGAGGCCAAATAAAGCAATCTCGGATTTATAGTTTGGAACGTTTAAT